AAATTATAGAACTAAATAAATATTGAATTGAATATTATTCTGTTATGCCAATTCTAAGAGTAAAACAATGAATTCATTTTGGTTTTGGCAAGGAAGAAAAAAATTCTCATCACTAACAGCTAAATATTGGTATATTTTAGCTTTTTGTTCTGCAGAATTTTAAAATATTATTTTTTAATATGCCTTATTTAATTTTCTACAAATGTCATTTCTCAGTTTTTAGCAAATTCAAAATATGTAAGAAACATGACTTTTTAAGTTTGTATTTAAGAAGTATAGCAAACTACTTATTGTCCTTTTTTAACCTAGTACATTGTGACTTCAAACAGAAAATGTGAAGTGTCCTATTGGGTTGCAAAATGCAAATCAGATGGATTAATATTCATCTTATAACTTCCATTTTCTAAGAAGCATGTTGGCAATTAAAATAATTTATTGTTTTTGGTGGGGAAGGCAGCATTAGTGAAATTATCCCAACTTTTGTAAAAAGCCAGAATGTTAGATGATAAAGGTAGAAAACTATATGATGAGTTAGACACAAATTTTGTATTTAAATTTTGTATAGAGGAACACACTTTTGATTTGTGGTTTAATATAACTAAAGTTCATAACAAAACTTACAATACCATAGCAAAAGTATCTAACAAATCTTAAAGAGTTACTGTTAAATTTAACTACCAGAACAGAGAAAAACCCTGGCTTTAAAATATTTCTCCACTTATCTGCATTGATCATATATCCCATCATATATTTTTAGTGCTCTGCTTGCTAAAATTAATTCATCCTAAGATTTTATCGACTATAGAATGTCTGTTTTTGCCATCACAGAAGCTGCATAAAAATTAGAATCTTGATTAATTTCTTTCAGTGACCACAAAATAGTGGTCAAATCTCAGGTCTATTTAGATTAGTAGATAATTTTGTAGGACTGTTGAATGTCATGCTTGAATAGAAATTTTTTAACAATCACTTTTCAAATTACTTCATATGTTGGAAATGTCATTTTTGGATTTGAGAACAAAGATAGTTCATTTATTAAGAAAATAACAACCGGCCTATAAATCACTTAAGCTATAATTTTAAATGCCACCCACTTTCCCCCAATGATTTTGTTCTTTGTTTTTAATTCTATGGTTTTCCTACAGGTCAACCAATTACTGAGCAGTTCAGCTAGAGAATCAGTAAAATGGCTTCTGAACATCATTTAAAGAAAAGGCCCTTTGATCTAAAAAAGAATTCAAATGCAATAACACAAAGAGATTAAACCAATTTATTAGACTATTTCTAAGTAAACTTTTGGAATTAAGTTAAAGCCCCAGACTAGAAAAAAAAAAAAATAGATGGCTCTATCAGTTCTACTGCAAAAGTCTTGTGAAGTATGGCAAAATAATCTCTCAAATTTGAGTTTTCTCACATCAAAAAAGGGATAATAATTTCTACCACTGTACCTTCACACTGATGTTGTCAAAATTAATTAAGATCAGAAATACATGAGGATTTTTAAACATCAATGTGTTTTATTCTATTTGTCTCAGACCAGTCAATACAGATGAATATTGCACATAAACCCAAAGTTCACTGGTATTTTCAACAAAGAGATGTAGTGGAACATACATGAATTACCCTCTGTTTAATGTATTGTTATGATAGTGACTTTTAATTATACTGAAAGGATACATATCACTTATGTTTTCTAGAACAAAGTTACTTCTCTGTAATTTGTTATTTCTTTATTTTTTTGGTATCTAAGCCATGTATCCCAAGTATTTCACGTTGTAGTAAGATCATCTAGCATTTTTTGAGAAAAGTAAAATATTCTCCACTAAAAAATAACTAACTTTTATAATTGTATTTATACATTTATCTGCCCTTTTAAAGAATATTTTAAGAGTAAAATAAATGGTCAATTACTTTCTGAAATTCTTTTAAAACTACATGCAGTTATCAATAAAATTTATTTTCATAGAAACTTCTTATATATTTATATATTATTGCATTTTAGGTTTTGGGGTACATGTGAAGGACATGCAAGATTGTTGCATAAGTGCATACATGGCAATGTGGTTTGCTGCCTTCCTCCCCATCGCCTATATCTGGTATTTCTCCCCATGTTATCCCTCCCCAACTCCCCACCCCATGCTGTCCCTCCCCTAGTTTCCCCCACAGACCTCAGTGTGTGATGCTCCCCTCCCTGTGCCCATGTGTTCTCATTGTTCAACACCCACCTATGAGTGAGAACATGCGGTGTTTGATTTTCTCTTCTTGTGTCAGTTTGCTGAGAATGATGGTTTCCAGGGCGGGTGATCAGAAACTTCTAAAACCTCTCCACCTTGTCTCTCCTTTTTACTGCATGACCTGTGAAGTAGCATAGCTTATGTTAAAGAGAGTTTACTCAAGAATCACAGGTTTATCACAGTTTTTTCTTAATTATGTACTTTGCTTATTCTAAAGACCTATTTCACGATTTCTTCAAGGTTGCCAATCTCTATGCTCTTTTCAGTGCCTGGTTCAAAATAATACTAAACTTTGGCAGAATATAACACCATGGGTGTCTGTTTTATTATAATTTTTTTCCAGGCACATTTTTTAAAATATGAAAAAGAAAACAATTATGTAGTTTATGTAGCTTCTCTATTGTCTGCATCTTCTCTTTTTCTCTATCAACTTGGGTTATAGAGTAATCCCCCTTACCTGTGGAAGATAAGTTCCAGAACACTCAGGGGATACCTGAAACCATGAAGAATGCTAAATCCCATATATACGATGTTTTTCCCTATGCACACACACATATGATAATGTTTAACTTAGAAACTAGGCACAGTAAGAGATTAATAAAAATATAAAATTATGAAATAGAACAACTATAACAGTATACTGTAATACAAGTTATGTGAATGTAGTCTATTTCAAAATGTCTTTTGTATTATTTGCATTTATTTTCAGACTGAAGTTGACCACAGCTAAGTGAAACTAAGCAAAACTAGGGATAAGATGAGGCTACTCCATAATGCTTCCTTTATTTAATAATCCATTTCATTAGCACTTAGTAATATGGCAAGTGACTAGCTGACCTTTGTAAAAAATGGCATTTTGACAACAGAGAACAAACTAAATATCCATAACCAGAAACTTTTAACTTTATGTATATGTAAAAAATGATATTTTGGAAAGCTAGGAAATAATGCTGTACATATACAGTATACTCAATTCAGTAAAATATTGCATAATATTTATTATAATTTTTGTGATTATAAATGTTGCAATTATAATATAACTCCAAGGGCAAGTAAACATAACTTTCAGAAATATTTCATTTATTATTTTCTTGAATTTTTTTTGTCTTGTACTTTTTATTCTGTCAATAAACTTATAAATCCTTTATGCTAAGATTTCAATTAAGGAAAGCCTTAGGATATAAATATCGTGGGACTCAAACATCTCATTGAAGACAATACATACGATATTTTTTGTTATACCATGATTTATGACACAGAATATCCATTTACTTGAAAATAATTTATTGTTCCACCACTTTGAGTTTAATGACAAAAGTCAGTCATTCTGCTTGCAGTCTTCACATGCTTTTTTCAATTATCAGAATTATATCTTATTTATATATATATTTTATATTTATATATTTGGATTTATATTTTTATTTTTATATTTATATGTGTGTTTTTGTATTGACTCTTGAAAATGTTTGAACTGGGGGACCACTTATGCACACATTTAAAAAAACAAATGTATTAGAAAACTTTTTTGAGATTTGTGACAATTTGTTTATTAACTTGCAGATAAACCATGAAGCCTAGAAATATTGAAAACATTAAGAAAAAGTTAGGTGTGTAAAGAATGCATAAAATATATGTACATGTCAGTCTATTTTATCACTTACTAGCATAAAATACATACAAATCTATTATAAAAGGTTAAAATATATCAACACTTATGCACACAAACACTTAGAAGACCCTGCATGATGCCATTCTCAGTGTAGTAGCAAGAAATATAAATACATGTAAAGATGTAGTATTAAATCACAACTGCATAAAATTAACTGTAGTATGTAATGCACCACTGCAATAGTTTTGTAGCTACCTCTTGATGCTATTGTGGTGACCTCAAGTATTGCTAATACCTACTTTAAAATGCTATAGGATGCTAATTATCTCTGCAAGAGCTGTTTGGTCTCTCAAGTAAATTGCATCACAGTACAAAGTGATCTTTGGAGGTTCTTAGGTGCTTTTTACTGAGTTTAGTGCAATACAATAAATCCTGAAAAATACCATGGGAAACAAAATGCAACTAGCAACTCCAGAAGTGCCCCCAAGAGGTAAAGTAAATTAATGACATTACAGAAAAAGTTAAATTGCTTAATATGTGCTGTTATTTGAGACCTTCCTCCACCTCTTCTATCTCTGAGACACCAAGACCCAATCCCTCATATTCTTCCTCTTCCTCAGCCTATTCAGCATGAAGATGATGAGGATAAACACTTTTATGATGATTTGCTTCCACTTAATGAAAAGTAAATAAATTTACTCTTCCTTATAATTTTCTTGAGTTTGAGGTAATCATGTCTGGATATACTTTCTATAGCAGGGCCATCAAGATTCTTCTAGGGGTTGTGACATGGGGAAATACTGTTATGGGCTAAATCATATTCCCTCAATGTTCTTATTTTGATGTCCTAACTTCCAGTCCCTCAGAATGTGACTATTTGGATATAGGATATTTAGAGACAATTAAGGTAAAATGAGGTCATCTGGGTAAGATCTAATTCAACATTACATAAGAAGAGGAGATTAAGATGCAGACAACTTGACAGAGGGATGATCAGGTGAGGACAAAGAGAAGGTGGTCATCTGCAAACAAGGAGAGAAGCTTCAGGAAAATCAAACATACAGAGATCTTGACTATGGACTTCTAGCCTTCAGAACTGTAAGAAAGTAAATTTCTGTTACTTAAGCCAACCAGTGTCTGTTATTTTGTCTTGACAGCTGGAAAAAATGAATACAACTTTATAATGAAGCAAAGAGATTTGGTTTATGGCTGATAATGCCTGAAGGAAGGGTCTATTCTCATGGCAAGCTGATGTCTACAACTCAGATAGATACCGCCAAGTTCTCATGGAATTATGGCTAATGTCCATTGATTGAACAAAAAAATAAGAGTGAATAAAAACTAAACAATTTAAAACCACATTTTGTGTAGTCAACATCTTTAATACCAACAGCAGACCCAGAAGCAGAACTCAGAATGGCAGAATATCAGGTGATACACACTATATGATTGAATAATGCAAGCCCACAACTAGTGCTTTGATTAAGAACCATAAAAATAGGAGTCAAAGTAAATGCCAAGTATTTTGTCTGAAAATTTTAAATGAATTTGTTAGTTCTAATGATATACAGAATATAATTATGCATAATTACAGTTTACATTGAATATAAATTATTATGTAACTTATTAGACTTGAGTTGGCCAAAGAGCATGTCCGTAGAGTTGGTCATGAGGATCATGAAGATATTAAAATGTGTCTGTAGCCAATTTGGCAATAATTCAATTTTGACTTAGCTATTAATCCAGTATATATTTAGAAATACATGATTCTAATAACTATACATGGATGAACAGGCTAATGAAATAAAGTTGTCAAATATTGGCACTATTCTTCATTCATGAAAAGCTAAAAAAAAAGCTTTTTAAATTAACAGTATGTTTGTTTGGAAAAACACTAGGTCTCTGAAGCCAAGTAAACATCATGAGGCTATTGGGTTAAAAAAAAAAAAAAAGAACAAAGAAGCAGGGCTAATCAAGAACAGATTTGTGTATTAGAGGAAGATTTTTCATTGGAAATGCTCAAGCTGTCTTTCCTCTTTTCTTATGGTCATCCTGGTAATATTTGACTTCTGTTCACCAATGACTAGTGCCCAAATATTTTTGCGGTTTACATTCAAGCATTTTGAATTCATTTATTCATTCAGTAAGTGGTTATTGAGCCCTTGTTATATATCAGTCACTCTCAGTATTCTAAATGTTAAAGGATTTGAATTAGTACAGAGAAAATTCTGCCAGAATAGAGCTAAACTGACCTTGTTCCTAAGACCAAAATATGCCAGAGTCATTCCTATTTCAGGCCATTTACTCTCATGAACCTCTCTGCCCAGACTACTTTGTGCTCACACGTTCACATCTCACTTCCATTTTTGTGGTCTCTCTCTGTACCATTCACATGCTACTCCAATGAGTATGAGTGCTGAAGGCCTCAGAGCCAAACAGCAAATCTCATAGGAGAAAACGTGAGTTTCATAACGTGGACTTAAAAGCTTATTTTACAAGATCTTGTGAAACAGAACTGATGTCAGTTAAAGTAGCTGTTCCTTACTCTTTATTTCTGCTATTTTTATGAATTAATTACTTTCCAACTGTTTTCCACTTCTGCAGTTGGTACTGAAGGTAATACAGTAACACAGTGCTTAAGAGTACAGACTCTGGAGCCAAACTGCTGGGTTCAACTTGCTACGTGATCTTGGTCAAGTTTCTTTAGCTCCCTGTACTTCAGTTTTCCACATCTGTAGGATTTGGAAGGATCTTACAATACTTTTAGGATTGCTGTGATAATTGAATGAGATGGTATATGAAATAATCTTTACATAATCTCTGGCTACATATGTCTATGCTCTTAATACAATTAATAATTCATTCCTCTCTCTCTCTTCTTTTTTGCTCTTTCTGTGTTTTCCTTTCATTTGCAACCACTTCTGCTTGACAGATTTTACTTAATATCTTCTTTGTATATTTTTAACATTCTGCCTACCCCTATCCTGTCCTGGTGAGGAAGGAGACCCCTTCCTCTTAAGCTGCTAAGACCACTTCCCCTTAGCCTTGCATTTCAAAAGAAGTAAAAGTTGAAAATAGAAGGCACAAGGTCAGTGGAGTAGACAAAACCGGTGCCACTAGCTGGACCTGGACAGTAAAGATCAACCCCCCCCCACCCTAGTTCCTGTGCTATTTATAGATCACAGGCATGGTATGGATGAATCTTCCCTGAAAGGCATTGTTCTTGCTTAATCACAGTTAGACCCCCACCTAAGTCACGTACCCTTTGCTTACCTCATTGATCATGACCCTCTCACATAAACCCTCTAAGATTGTGAACCTTTAAAACAGACCAGGATTTTCTAGTCAGGGAGCTTGGTTCTTGAGACACTAGTCTGTTGAGACTTGTGGCCAAATAAAACACCACTTCCGTGTTCGAGAGGTTTGTTTGTGGCTGCTCCTGCTTCACTACTACCAGTATGTCTTCATTCATCCATCCCTTTAAAATGACTGATCTTTATTTAGTCACTATCATCCATGTTTGTGAAACAGTGGGTGATGGCGGCAGTCCTTATTTCTCCAGTTCACTCCTGATCTTTTGTAAATAAGGAGGCTAAGATATACGCCCTCCCATTATAAATGTTACTGGAGATCTCCGATAGGCTTCTCTCCAAGGTGCCCACTACTCAGGAGTGACACACAGGATCAGAAATTTAAAGAAAGGTTATAAGCACTGATTTTTTGACTCCTGTTACTTAGAAAAAACTATAGATATGTTGGAGATACCCCTTAAAGCAAGAAATGTCCAAAAACTAAGAAATAAAGTGAATAAATCGGAAACTGGATTGAAATAAAACAAAATGGGAAGCCTGATTTTTCCTCAGAAAAAGTAAGTTATGTTTCCACAGCTGTAGGCTAAAAACAGCTGCATTATCTATAGCCCATTGAATGGAGCTCAGTCATTAATATTTTACTCATGTGCACACTTCATTTTGATGTAATTTTCCTGTATAACTAGCCAGAATGATTTGCAGAATATTTAACAAAAATGATGAAAATACTCAGCTGCATCTGTTCATCATTTGGCTAAACACATTTTTGCATAAATTTTACATGGGATTAAGCCACCACCATTATTTTTTTCATCCTTTCTCTTCACTGTTCAAATATGAATGCCAAAGTTTATTATTATTCAGGTATCCAATCACAGTACCATCCCAGCAATCAAGTCAAAAGCAGCAAAGCAAAATTGAAAAGATGTTTTCTAAAACTGCAGTCACGTACAATACTTCCCTAAGACAACAACCAGTGACTGTTGCGATGACAAACAGCTTTAATAATGAAAATAGACTCTCAGTTTTACCTACACAGATGCAGTTTAATTTTCTTCTTCCTTATTAGAATCCTCACTAGCTCTCCTCCTCCACTCTGCCCCCAGTTATAAAAATGAGTTGGCAAACACAACAGTTCTATTCATTCTCAGTTTAATATACAATTTCTCATATACACAAAGGGGTGAAATGGTTTCTAAAATCATTGGCTGGTAATGATGACAGTAGAATCTAATTCCCTCAGGTGCTCACTTAATACTTATCTCTCTGCTGGAGAGTGTAATAAGGTCGTCAAGATTATTGAAGTTGACAGGGCACCAAGCTCAGATTAATTACATCATAGAATTCAGAAGGAATTAGAAAAAGCAACAATACTGCCTCTGGCAAACGCACATAGTTTTTATAGTTCTCTAAGGACTTTCAGTGTAATATAATACAAATGAGTGAAAAATAGCTAATGCAACTGATTTGTAGGTTTTGTGATACAAATTCTGAAAGCTTAATTATTCTGAGAATAAGAAATCACCATCCATCACAATTTGAAAGAAAAATACTCAGAGTGGAATATCATAAATAAGTGATGAATAATTGAAGGATAAGTAAAAGGTACTAACACGTGTGAATCTTTCTCCTACCATGTTCCAGAAAATTTATATTCATTGCATCATTTAATTTTCACAAACGCAAAATAAATATTATCCTTTAAAAAATGGAAACAGGTTGAAATATGTTAAAGATTTTCCCCCAAATTTCGTATCTAGTGAATAGTTATCAGCATTCACCCAAATCCCAAACTCTTTCCTCAAACATAGGGAACATCAGGGCATTATTCTTGAAAAATGTCCATGTTAGATAGTGAAACACTCACATGGAAAACACATATGATTAAAGAATCTGAGAACAAAATTGTAAAATCTGAGGCTAACTAAATTTAAATGGACAAAGAGAGGGACATGAGGCCACAGTTACTCACCTGAAATTCCTTAACACCTCCTGCTTAGTAAGTCCAGGAACAGGCCTAACCACATACTGATAATGACTATTTGGAGACACACTGTAGCCTTTAGCCGATCATCTATTAGCTTATCGCTGTTAGCAAATGGTGTTTGTATGTGAACAAGCTGAAATTCCCTTGCTGTGCCTCCTCATTTTGTCTTTAAAAATCTGCTTGTAACTGCCCCAACTCATGGCATTTCTAAGGAAGTTTGGAAGGAAGTGTTAGCTGGGTTACTGTCCCAAATTTTGGCCCAAATAAACTCTCTACCTGTATCAATTTTGCTGCATTTTCTTTCTTTAGGTTGACATATGCATCTATACTAAATGCCTTCCTCAAATAATGCTAGAGATTTATATATATATTTGTTTCATTATCACATAAGAAATTTTAAGAGTTTGATGAGTCACTTATAATTAGTTTGGGGAGATGTGACATGTAAATAAAAAACAATGATAAAGAAATGATACAGCACAGCCTTTACACTTATCAAATACACCGTTACACTGATCAAAAACCAGAAACGCATCTCTACTGCAGATCTGAATATGTAGAATACGCCTAGGTATGGAATAAGCAAAATGAAAACGGCTCCTGTGTAGCTAAAATAGATATTACAAAGCAATTACTCCTTAGTTCATGCAATATACTTGTAAATGGGACTATTTCTGTTGTCTAACATGAGAACTCACTAAGGTCAAAAAGCTCAGGACAAAGGATAGAAAGTACACATCTGCATTACAAAGAAAGGTGCTTATATATTCCAGAGGGTTTAGTAAGAGGTGGCCAATCTGGTCACTACCAATACTCATTCTCGGTTTCCAGGCAACATAAAAAAATAAAGGCTAGCAACTCATTAAAGACAGACTTGATAGCATTTCCCCTCCTCCCTCTTCCAAAAATGCAGGAAGGATGCTCCTTCCTTTTTCAACTCAAAGGCTGGCTAAATAAACCTGAAATGGAAGGTGAGAAGAGAAGTGAAAAGGTAGGGGTGTGGTGGGACTAGACCTGCACTTCCCTTGTTTTGTGGGGCAAGGATCTGTAAGTTTTACAGT